TATTATTATTATTATTATTATTATTATTATTATTATTATTATTATTATTACCCAGATTTATTGGAGTTGCAAGCTTGGTAATATGCACCACACCAGGTGGATTTATGATCTCATTGGGAACTTTCGGTGTATCTTCAAATTTACTCTGTTGATAAGGAAGAGGGGTAATATCTTTCTCGGGTAATTTTGGCTCTTCGGCTTTCTTCTTAAACAACGGTAATCTGCCAATGAAAGGTAATTTACCTTTCGACACCTGGGGCGCCGACTTTTTAGTCTGTACACTACCCTTCTTGGATTTGGACGCGGACTCGTTCGTCTTCTTCTCGAACTTGGACTCGTCGTTTGACGAGTTATCGTCTCTTCTGTCTTTACCGTATTTGTCGTAATTTCTCTTTGGACTGTCACGCCAATTTCGTTCGCGACGTGGAGAATCGTTGCTATCCCGTTTCCTTCGATCCTCGTAATAATCCCTATCTCGATCCCTATCCCTGTCTCTATCCCTGTCCCTGTCCCGGTCTCTGTCCCTGTCCCTGTCCCGGTCACGGTCCCTGTCTCGTCCCCGTCGTCTTTCATACCTGCTGCTGTAACGATCGTACTTATCCTCTCGTCTGTCGTACTTCCTATCCCGATCGTCTTTGTATCTATCACTCTCTCGCTCTCTGTCGTCTTCCTTCTCTATAGATTTATTCTCAGGCGGTTTCACAGTCATGTTAACTTGCTGCTTCGTCCAGAATCCCATATGCGGCTTGGGCATCTCCTCCGGTTTTGGTAATTCGATTGGCTTGTTGGCTATGGGCTGCGGTTTCTCTTCTTCCTTCTTTATCCAAAAAGGCTTAGGAGGTTCCTTCGGTCCCCAGATCTCCAAACTCTCCGGCTTCGATTTGTTCGAGAAAGAGGCCTGCTCCTGCTCTTCCTCCTCCTCTTCTTCGATCATTTTCTCCTGGCTCAATCTCCGATTGCTCATAGACTTCATCTCTTCCTCTTGTTTTGCTTTCAATTTGTCTCTGATCGAATTTAACAACTGTCTCTCGTCAGTCGTTTCTACAGGCTGGGGCTCTGGAGTTGGTGGCTGATTCAGGTGCTGCGCCATTTTCGACCAATGCCCTTTCAACTTTATCCGATGATAGTCGATCTCCTCGTTCAGAATAGCCTGCGTCGAAGCTTTCATCTTGTTACGCATAGCGACACGAATGCTCTTGGACATGTCCTGGTCGGAGTCTGTATCAGAATTCTCCGATTCGCTAGAACTGTCGCTGCCGCTGCTTCTGTTCCTTCGCTTCTTAGACTTTTTCTTGCTCTTCTTCGACTTCTTTGACTTCTTCGACTTTGGCGGCGGATCATCGTCTTTGTGTTTCTGCAATTCCAACTGTATCTGTTTGTGTTTCTCTTCGGAGAACGCTTTCTCACGATCTGCCATCCAGTCGGTTTCCCAGTGTGGATTTTGCTCGACAAAGCGCTGGATAAAAAAACATCATGCAATAAGTTTCACATTGCTTTAATCGCCTGAGCATATGGAATTCAGATCAAAGAACTTACAGAATAATTTTCTGAATGCTGTTTGGACTTCAGGTGCAAACTCGCGCAATGTAGATCCCCGATCCAAGAGTCACAGAGCTTGCAGTACCATGCTGTCGCAGCGCTGAAGAACTGTAAACCTATAAGCAAATAATTAAGCGCTCAGCATTGCTTAAGCTTTGAAAATGGTAAACAATTTAAGTTCATAAAGAATGACCTTATATTCTGCCACGACACATTCATGTCACTGAAAACAAAAATAAATATATATTAAAGGATGCTCAACAAACGGTTGATAACGTTAAATGTTCTTCCGTAATCTCCCACGTTGAAGTCTGGAAGAAAGAAAGGACAGGGAGAAAATCATGTTTTATTCATACAAAATATTCCACAAAGATATTACAAGTAAAATGAAAATCTTAAATTACATAAAGCAACATAACATAGAACTTTTGCACATACTGCAACTGCCTTATGTATTTTTTATTTTTTCTTTTTCTTTTGTAGCTTTTGCTAATCATTAAAAATCTGAAAAT